GTGTAAACTAAAGTGGAAGAACACATGAAGTTTCTGATGCCAGATAAGAATGGAACACTTTAGCCTTTGGTGCCCAATCCATTGACCAGTCAGCCATTTTTATTTTATGTTGACTGTCATGATGGATTCTGAAAGGAAAACAATATCTCTGCCCTTTATAAACATCAAGTAGAAATAAGGCAAACGGAGTGAGAAAAACCTCACCCCATTTAGTTATTTTATTAGATATATTTTTTAACTATTCTTATTTGATATGCACTGGTGTTTTGCCTCCATGTACGTCTGTGTGGAGTGTCAGGTCCCCGGGAACTATAGTTACAGTTGTGAGCTGCCATGTGGGTGCTGTGAGTTTAACCCAGGTGCCCTGGAAAAACAGTCAGTGCTCTTAACCACTGAGCCATCTCTCCAGCCCGCCTCCCATTTTAGTTATATTTTAAAAGTTTGAAAATTAAATAAACTGTAAATAAAATTTTCAAAAAATGTACCAAACCAAAGTGAACATCATCAAACTCTGAGAAGTCAAAAAGAGACCCAAACAGACTCAAACAATGAGTGACTATGATCAGAAATGCTGTGTCTCAGTTTTATTGATGCAAAGGAAGACATCACATATTTTTGGAAAGATGATTTCTATTTGTAATATTATAAAATATTAAAACAACATTTGAGACAGATTTCTCACTAGAATCACCATAGTACCTCCCATTTCATTACAATATGATTGATAAGATAGCAGAGAAATGCTTAGTACAATCAGGATGGCCCCTAGAATCAGAAAAATCTCAGTTCTATATTGACTTAATAATTTTCTGTAAATCACACAATACATGATACTCAGCACAGACACTGAGCATGCTCAATGAATTCCTGAACACCTAATCGTCAAGGGCAATTAAACTGATTAATTCAAAGGCAAATTAGATTCTCTGATGATGGGTGGCACAGCTTCTTTGAAGAACAGCAGAAATCTTGCTGGAAACTCAAGCTCCATTTGTAATTTCACCTTGACACAACTTTCAGGATGATGGGTTCTTCTGGTTGAAAAATAGTTTGCTTGCTTAACTTCAAGGGAATCTGTGGCAGTTGAAGAAGCACATTGAAAAGGAATGAATGAGCCAGCAACCACAGCAAAGAAGAACAAATCCATTCAGGACAGTGGTATTTTATATACATAAAACACTTTAGGCTTCATATGTCTTGAATTCTTTATACATACATCTTCATTAGGACTGGGTAGTCCAAACACCCAGGTCTACTGTTCATGCAATAAAGTCATTTTGGAGTAATTGTTGTATATAGAACCTGAGGGGGGAGACTATGCCGACCCATGTTCTTTATTGATTTGAATTTAAGTGAAAAGGCTGAGTTTTGAAATTCTGGATCACATTTTAAGTATGTGGAAGACTGTTTTTGATAGGCAATATAAAGGTAAATCACATTTGTTGACACGTAGAAGGTAATCCTGAACACATGTCAGACAGTGCAGCTCTGTGGGCACAACTCAA